ATGATCATAGAATTATGCTGAGAGGACACAAAAGAAAAAATTATTCACAAAAATCCTCAATATTTCAAATATTTAAATTATGTCCATGTTAATCTATACACTTAAACATATCCTATTTAAGATCCCATTTTTAAAAGAAAATATGATATGATGCTTTTAAATTTCACGTGAAAGAATAAATGTGTAAGAAAAAATAAATACATGAATAAGAGTAAATCAGCCTGAATAACATACACAGTGAAACCAGAAACAATGAATGTCTCCTCGATGTTCACTCTATCCCTTTCCATTGAATAGCAGTAATACAGTGTGGACAGTAAACCCGACCAAAGGAAGGCTGGCCTTGCAGCCATCCCCTGGTCAGGGTCCCTTCAGGCAAGCTGTGCTACCCAGAGATGCTGAAAGGACTTCATTTTTTTTTTTTTATTAAATCATAGAAGTGTACATTAATGCAGTCATGGGGTACAGTGTGCTGGTTTTATATACAATTTGAAATATTTTCCCCAAACTGGTTAATATAGCCTTCATGACATTTTCTTAGTTATTGTGTTAAGACATTTATATTCTACATTTAGAAAGATTCACATGTACCCTTGTAAGATGAACCATATAGGTGTGATCCCACCAATCACCCTCCCTCTACCCATCCTCCCCTCCCTCCTCCCTTTCCCCTTTCCTCATATTCTTGGGCTATAATTGGGTTATAGCTTTCATACGAAAGCTATAAATTAGTTTCATAGTAGGGCTGAGTACATTGGATACTTTTTGATGAATACGGCAAGCACCAGAGTCAACCAATCCCAAAACCTATCTATACACACATATAAGGTCATGGTCAGGAAACAGGAGCTACCTTAAATAATTTGAGAAAAGAGTTTTTTTAATAGAGGGAGCTAAAGAGTTCCACAACCAGTGGAAGAGCTGAGGGACAAAAGGTCAGAAGCCCTATTTTCAAAAATTTAGAAGTTCAAGAATCTCAGTGATAACCCCACTAAGGATGCCTGGAGCCGCAGTGGATGTTTCTTAGGAAAACTTTCAGAAGCCCAGGGAGGCTGTTGCTGCTGATCCCAGTGGCTGCCTGCAGCTGTTAACAGATAATGCCTTCTTTTCTTTCCTTTCCAAGTCTTCTCCAAGCACATTTCATAGGGAAGTCTAGGCCAGAAGCTGTGGGAGAAGGGATTTTGAAAACATGCTTCTGCAATGCAGAAGAGAATGAAGAAAAAGGCTGGGACTATCACTTTGAAAATGCACAATACAGCACACTGTTCTACCCTGAAGATCCTGTTGAGTGAGTGTGGCAGGTTGTATTTTCCATAAGCAATTACACTAATGTATCTCATCCTACATACTCTTCTTATTTTCCTTGTTAATCAGTGGAGTCTCTTTTCTCTCTAAACTGAGAGAAACTTTTGACTACAGTGGAAATTTCACTATGCAGCTTCTGAAGTTGGATCATAAAAAGTGATACAGCTTCCTCCTGGCTCTCTCGGTGCACCCACTCTTAGAATCTGGTCACCATGCAGTGTGGACACTGAAGCCATGCCACATGGGTCACGCTTACCAGGAGGGGTCAGCCACAGAGAAATTACACATATGGTTAGGGGTTTACCTTTCCCTTTCTGTCAAGTGTATTCCTGCTTTGCCTCTGACCTCAGCAAATATGACTTCCTTAGGATCCTGGAATATTGTAGTAAATTTAGAAACCTATATGGTTTGATCATATAGAAACCTATATGATCTTTGGAAATTATTAACCTTGAGCTGTTACTGCAAAACGGATGCAAACAACACACTAGTTCACCCTTCTCATTACAAGTCATGTTTACAAAGTCACGCTGGCTTCCCACATTGCAAAATCTTTCTCTTACTGAATCAGCTCCCTCTGGCAATTATCATCACAAAGACCTTCCTTCCCTTATGAAAAAAGACCTAACTGAAGAAATAACCCTGAAGATAAGATTTTTATTCTATTTCCTAGTTCAGATTTCCTAGTTTGCCCCAGAAGTTCTCATAAAATAACCTTATCTTTGTGTAAGCTTTTGGCATCTTGTAAACTTTCTTCTTCTTCAGCTCTGGAAAATTTCCTAGGTTGTTCTGGGCATGTCCAGTATCTTGTACCCAAGGGTACAAGGAAGTTCTGTATATTCTGAAAAAAGTTTAGATGAGAAGAGGGTCCAAGAATTGCATTTGTTAACAGATGGCTTTATGGATGAGTAAGGAAATGTAAGATTCTGGAGCCTGTCTAGGAGAAGAGAATAGAAATGTGCATACCTAGTATGTCTGAAAGTCAACGAAACATTTTTTTGAGTGAAAAAATGAATAAACAAAATGAAGTATCCATTATTTTTACATCCCTTACCCTAGGTGCATAGTATAGAGCAGATATACTGTTCCAAAATGTATTCTTAGAACACTCACAGGCTTTTTGGCTAATGGTTTAAACTAGTGTTCTAGAAGTTTGAAGAGGCTAAGTTTCAAAATTTAGAGACATTGTTTTTTTTCCATGTGTAGACAATCAGCATTTATAAATGAGTGAGACATATAGTGTGACTAACAAAACAAAAAATACCTTAAAGAGCTGGTGTGCCTCCCCCTGACTTGGCTCTCTTATGCCTTTTCCTGTGGAGCAATACACATATGTCATCCATGATTGTTTAGAGTAAGTTTTATTCTCCATTTATGAAACAACATTCTTCCCTGGAGCCTCTCAGGCTTTTAGAATCTCTGTGCCTCTGTGATGCTTCAGATTTACCCCATAGAGAAAATTGGCTTTGCAATTCCGCTCCGCAGAGTCCAGAGCTCTCTACACATACCGCCAAATGGCTAAAGTGGTGATTGGAAGCTATATACAGGGAGCCCCCAGTTTGCAAGTGAAATAGGTTCTGTAGGTTTGTTCTTAAATCAGAACAGGTATATTTATCTATTACCTGTGATAGCCTCCATTCATAAGCATGAGTTGCATGTAAGCTGGATGTTTGTAACGTAGGGACTGCCTGTATCAGAAAAGACATATATTGGATTAAAAGCTAAAGTGGTGGAAGTAAAGATGTATGCCAGAAACCAAGCTTTGTGTTGAGTGTACTTCATGTACTCTTTAAAAAGAAATAATCATGAAATCATTTACAATTAGCAATTATTACCGTACATACTGGAATTCTATTCAGTCATAAGAAAAGAATGAAATTTTGTCATTTGCAGCAAAAAGAATGATCCTGGAGGACATTATGTTAATTGGAATAAGCTAGGACCAGGAATTTGAATAGTGTATGTTCTCACTTATAGGTGGGACCTAATTAGTTGTTCCCATATAAGTGGAGGGTAAAATGGTGACTACTAGAGGCTGGGAAGAGTCGATGATAAAGAGAGGGTGGTTGCAGATATAAAATAACCATTAGGAGAGATAAATCCTGCTGTTCTGTAGCACTGGAAGGTGACTATAGCTAACAATGTATTACATATTTTCATATAGGTAGAAGAGAGGACTTTAAATGTTCCCAACACAAAGGAATGATAAATGTTTAAGATGATGGATATGTAAATTACTGTGATTTGATCTTTGCACATAGTTTACATTTATCAAAATACAATGCTATACCCCATAGATATGTGCCATTATCATGTGTCCATTAATAATAATAATAAAAATAAAACAAAAAGCCAGAACCTCAAAGTGTATGATCATGTTTTTCCCTATTTCTGTAATATTGTTATTTCACGACACTTTGTTACATTTGTAGCATTTTGTTACATTTGCTTTGTCCTTTTTTCTTGCTCCCTATTTTTCCTAGAACCTATCCCTATTACTTTAGGATACATTTCCTGAGTCTGAGGACATCATCCTGCACAATTATAGTATTTTATCACACCTAAGAAATTAACCGTACTTGCACAATGTCATTTAATAAATCCAAAATGTCTTAATTGCTCCCCCCCAAATATTTTTTTCTATCTCTTTTCTAAGACTTCTCAGTAGAGAAATAAATCATTGTGGGAGGGGACACCTTCATCTTGGTGATACTCTTATGTTGACTGAATGAAATTTCTCTCTTTTACTTCTTTTAGATGATAGTCTTTTCATCTCATTTCTGCAAAGGGTTATGACAAAGTCAAAAATAAGGCAGCCGTGATGTGAGCAGTGAGTCACCTTTTGTGCAGGAATATTGCCTGTGTTGTTCTACGTAGAGAAACCCAAAGAACTGATGCACAGTGCCTGTCCTCTGACTGTGTAATGGGGAAAAAGGATCTGATTTTTGTTCCATTCTGAGTGCTCTGGGAATATCTAACCACTTATTTTAGATTTACCTTGATATAACAAATTCATTCTACAATTCCTCTCCACAGAGTTTGAATCTCATCAAACTGCCAACCATAACCATTTTATGTCCTGAGGCACTTTGGGTATTTGCTGCATCCTTCTTCATATAAATTGAATAATACGCAATTTAACACCTCATTGCTGACTGCAATGTCTTTAAAGCTTATACTATTTTTAAAAATTTGTTTTTGTATTTCAGTTTTTACATTTGAAGGTGTCAGTGTCCCCCATTTCTTTCTTTTTAGAAATATCTGTGCATTTTCCATTTGGTAGAATACTTCTTTGACACCAAGAGAATGTTATTGATTCTTTTATGATGTGTGAATTATACTTTTCAAAGCCTTTTAAACAGATTTTTAAACTAAAAAACAATGAATAAGAATTGCTAATTTTAGCATGGGATCATTTGGAGAAATGTCAAAGGTTAATTTGCAGGGGAAATTAATGGTGAGACTACTGGACTGTGAAAATAAAAGAAGACAATTCGACTGGGTTAAATAGTCAAGTATGACCTTATAGAATAGCCTGTCAATTTGGCAGTGAAAAGACAGACCAGTGACCTACACTGGATATTTTTCTATCTTCTTAAGATTAATGGAATCAAACTATAATTTTCCTAAGAACCATCCTTCTTCAACTTCAGGGCAAGTATGTGTTTTCTTTCTTTCATTCTTTTTTTCTTCCCTCATATTCCCCTAGTCAAAATACAGACTACACTCAGGGTTGGGCTGGAGTGTCTATGGGTTTTACCTGTTTCCTCTTTCTATACAGTCAGTATATGAACATAGCCTGCAGGGAGAACTAGGGAGCCGGCAAGTTTGTGATTTCTAAGTGGGCCTAGTGCAGCAACTGAGCCTAAAATTGAATTTTATATACAATTCAATTGTATGTGTGTGTGTGTGTGTGTGTGTATATATATATTATTGTTGGGGGTTCATTGATGGTACACAGAACCAGGTTACATTGATTGCTTTTGTTAGAAAAGAACCATCTTATATTTGTGTCCACCCCAAAAGGATTTTATATTTTAAGTCTAGAAATTAAATTAACTTCGAATCTCTTAAAAGAAACAAATAACAAATATAACTTGAAACATAATGGTGTACATTATATTCTAATAGAGTATTATACACGTACCAGGCAGGAAAGATACTATAATCATAAAGGTGGTTTTCCGAGGGCAAGGGGGTACAGGCCCCTGTGGTTTCCCCAAATGTGGGAAACACTACTCTATAATCTCTGGTAGTGGGGACTGCATTTGCACTTTCCTGTTTTTTTTTTTTTAATGTATAAAAGACAAAGTTTAATATAAATGTATATACAAATATAATGAAACTAATACACTTTTGCAAATATATGAAAGTCAACGTATATTGTAATTGCTTATTCTTTAGTGCTGTGTTAGATACACAAATAAAATTTCATCTTTTAAAGCATTCATTAATTTTAATACTAAAATTCCATTAAGTACTACTAGAAAAAAGTATCTAGGGGAGACGGAAAAGCATGTGGAAAGGTACTTCACATTTCAAAAGATCCCCTCAAGACTATGACTTGTCTTGTTATTCATGAGTTTTGGATTTTGTAAGCCAGACGGCATCCAACTTCCTGTTTAAAACTGTGTATACTATGCCACAACCTTTTAGGGAGATGTCTTTTTTTTCCTGATTAATATGATTAGGTAACATTGTTTGCATTTGTAATTCTTATCCTGCAGCATCAGCTCCTGAGGGACTTCACACCGTTAATAGAAATATGTAAAGTTTCTTTGAAGAATATAGACTAAAGGCTTTAGAGCTCATTTCCCCCCCCCCCCGTTTTACTTAATAAGCAGTTGTAAAACTTTTTTTCCCTGAATAGTGCCTAAAACCTCTATCATCCCCCTATCCTGCCATTGGCATAATTGGGCACTAAAAGGATGTGAAATATTAGTGTGTAATATACAGTTTGAGATGGTTGCTGGTGGTAGTGGCTACAGCCTAGAACGTTAGGAATGCCTCCCCCAATATCCACGCCCTAGCCGATGGGGGCGCTGCCCAGCGGCTGTGCTTCTTCAGGAAGTCCCTGCTTGCCCGCACATTTCTCCTGCGCACTACAGCGCCAAGTGCTCTGCCTTTGCTGGAATGCGTCTTCTGCAGGCTCACTGCGGAGTTTGAAGGAGAAAACGTCCCTCTGTGCCATGACGGGCTTTCATGACCATAATCTTTTGCTGTCAGAGGTGAAATATCCAGGCCGCAGAGGTAGCAGGTTTTGCTGTGACTGCCACTTAGATAGGAAACTAGACCTCCTTGAGCCCTTAGTTTTGTATCTGAATGAAGAAATTCTGGCACTTGCCTATTTATTGCCTTCCTTCTTTTGACTTGACATCATGTAGTAAACCACAGTCTCTCTCTGGTAATGTTGCCAAAAGCCTGCTCAATAAGGTTTCTCAGGTGGTACATTATTTTATTTACATTGCGAGACGAGTGTTCTCTCTATCCGTGCACCAATCTCACTTTGTGTTAAAGATGGGAACCTTTGCTTTCTCTAATAATAGGTTTTAAATCAGGAGGAAGAGAACTTTAACTCAGTTGGCGTGGAGGGCAGAATATATGGTGCAGTGAATAAACAAAGACCTAGAAGCTTTTGTCAGCCTAAAATACTCCCTGTGATTGTTTTTGATAAAATAATAATAATTACAGTGATGGCTGACGCTTGCTACTGAAAACCTGTAATTTCTAACAGCTGCGGCTCGGCCATGACAGCTACCAGCACATACAAAGTGAAACGCACGTTTCCCTGAATTGAGATTGCCCATATACGTAAATTCCCCACTCACTGTACCTGTTTGTTTTATTAGCAGTTCACCTGAAACACCATAAAGCTTTATGTTTTCAAAAACTTTTGTCTTATGAGCTCTTAAGAGATTTTAAAGTCCATGAATTCTTTTAAATAAATAATAGTCCTAATCAGTATAGAGGTTATTACATAGTTATTATATGCCATGGTTCAACTCACACAGATACTGAAAACCTAATATAACTAAAATTATTTAATAGGCAGAAATTTGTTCTTTTCCCCAGCGTCAGCACCATCCAGGGACTCTATGGTAAGAGAGGGATTATATATATATATATGCGATATTCATAGTAATCAAGCAGGGCTGGGGAACCTGCAGCTTTATGATTTCAAGATTTTTTTTTTTAAGCACCAAACAAGGTGAGAAAGGTTTTATCTTTCTCTGCTGCATTACTTTTAATAAAAGGATTTATTCTATAAAATTTGGATTCAGTCAAAAGACTGCATTTAAGGACCTAGAAGGCCACAGTTTCCCCACCGCTGATTGGCACTTACATTACATTGACCCACAGGGAAGAAAATCCTCTGCACTTCTCTGTTTATTTCAATATTTTGACAGATGTTATGTCATTTAACTCTGTTTGCTAAATAAATATCTACTATGTATAAGAAACACACTGCACTTGGTACTTGGAGGAAAAAATGAATCAGGCACCTGCCATAAAGAAATTCCAATTTATTATTGGAATTCCAATTTAATTCCAATTTAGTATTTAGACATAACTTAATTATAAGTTTTTGAAAAAAATACTTTAAGACCGGAATAAACATATACCTATAGATATTTAGAGGTGACAATTTATCTTTCGATGGGACAGAAAAATCTTCAAAAGAAAGAGGTCAAGACTATTGTGGCTATCACCAAATTTAGCTTAAAGAAAGAAATGTGTTTTGTTTATATATTACTTTCCTGCAACCAAGTGGAATTTGAGGGTCAGTGTGGGGAGAGGGCTTGCATGGAAGGAGAGTGATATTTCTTAGAATTAGAAGATATTTAGGACAGATAAGCCCATGGATTACTATTATAGGCATAGTAGTTAGCTGAGTTTTGATTTCAAAAAGAAGAAAGAAGGAAGGAGGGAAGAAATTTTAGACCAAGGGAAGGGCAGGAATGAGAGTGTGGACATTAGAAGATTCAAATTGCACAAAGCAGACATTATTCACTTTGGCTGGGAGATAGTGTGGATATTCCATATACCTCTATTTAGGGCAGAATCAGTACTGGGGATAAGTAAACTTGTATTAGAATGTGATTATGTTCCTTTAAATCCTATTATTTTTTCATCATTATATATTTAAATGTAAAATTATATGTCAATCAACAAAATGAACAAAATTATTCCTAAGTTGGTGTGAAATCATAAATATGTTTGAAAACAATACTTCATGCTGATTTTTCATAAACCATTTGATATCCCTTCACAGCTTGGATGAAGCTGCTTTGCTCAACAGGGAAGTAGAAAAAATACACAATGCTGTGGCCTCTGGTCCTGAAATAAAAATAGTGGTTTGATTAAATGCCAGTTGGTTGTAAATGATAACCCACATAAACAGTGGGAAATCATTATGCTTAAGAGTGAATTCTAATTTAATTTTATGGCCTTTGGAAAAAAGTCCCCTAGGCTAGTCAGCAGAAGCCAAGGAATGGTGACTAAGCTGAGTGTTGAAGGGATTGAAATTCTGTTAGGCCAGCCCTGAGGTTACCTACCCCTGCGGTGGTCAACTGTCTGCCTAGATTCTTCTCCTGTTCTTCAGATGGGGTCATTTTATTGTTTGGTCACTAATGCATGGCTCCTAAACTCATATAAATGCCATACTACCAAATTCTTGCATTTGATGTCCATGTGTTTCAGTTATCTATTTTAATGATGTATTTAAAAATCCCCCCAAACCTTAGTACTTTAAAACAACCACCATTTACATTATAGCTACAGTTTTATGTGTCAGGATTCCATTCTGGCTTGGTTGGGTAATTCTTCAGCTAAATAAGGTGTCATCTGGGATCCCTTGGTAATATCCAGCTGGTATCTGGGCAAGCCTGAAGTAAATAAGATAGCTCTATTCCTAAGTCTGGTGTTTTGACGGTAATAGCTGGAAATCTGGGCTCACCTGAGATCCCCTCTCTCTTCAAGTAGTTGTAGGACATCTTCATGTTGTCTCTCCAGCATGGTTGTCAAACTTCTTAGATGAAGGCTCAGGTCTTCAAGAGACCAGAGTGCAATCTGCCAGTTTTTTTAAAGTAAGTAAGAGTTGGAATAACATCACTTTTCCTCTACACATTTGTCTAAATAGTCACAGGCCAGCTCAGATTTGAGGGGAAAACAAATAGACTTCACTCTGCGATGAGAAAGATATTTAACTATTTGTGGTTCTCTTCAGTCTGCCATATCATATGCAAAACAGAATATTTCAGATAAATGAGTCATGGGAAAAACCAGAATTGTGAATATACATTCACAATTAGATATGGTGTGGATAAAGAGTTATTCTTATTGGCAAACTAATTTCTTCACTTTATGTAATCCCAGTGAATAGGTGCTATCTAGGGTAAATTGCTAGGTAAGAGAGCTTTATGGATCTCTATGAAAATTTGATGTACAGATCTGATATCTAGTGAGTGCCTTGGCCTTTATCCTTTTTGTAACAACTTGGATTGTGCTTATCTTCTAAGGTTGTTCTTCCTCAAGTTTTTGATCAGTGTTCATGTTCTGGCTTTCCTCAAATACTGAACTTACATAGCTTGTTTGTTGGATGTTGCAGAAATGTATCCCAGGCAACAGATGCAATACACCCTGTTGTCTTGGCAGCACACATACTTTAAACCACACTGCTGCTCCTATCCCTGTTAAAATAGTCTATTTTGGCACTGACTGACAGTAAGTGCAATAACATGTAAAGACGCTCTGTTGGCATTGATTTGGCTTTGCAGACAGAGAAGACAAAGAGATATTACTTTTCAGTGTTTTGTGCTTG